CTGTCAACGCCGTGTTCTTGTCTAGTCCAGACATTCTCCAAGCTGTAGTGTTTCCTTGTCCGATAACAGTATCGGCAACCGAGGGTCCTTTCTGCACCGAAAAAAATTTTAGCACTACATTTTCGCAAAAAGAACGAACCAACCCTTTCCATTGACGAGCACGGACCAATAATTCCTTGAATCTTCACTTCCTTTGAGCATGATATTTCGAAGATCCCACTGCAAGGCGAGAAATCACATCTTGTACATGGAAGTCTGTCATCACGTACTTGAAAGACAGGCCAAGCGAACTAGCCCCTTCCTCGAATAAACGCTTCAAGGACTCCTTGAAAACCATATGGCCAAAACTTTCTGCCAAGACGACAAGGCCCCCGCTTCTTTCAATAGCCACCTTCATCTCTGCCAATCCCACCTAGCAGTACATATCATCAGCATACGCCACAAACAAAGAAAGGCTATATACCTGATCGAGTGAGCAAGCAAAAACATCAAGTACGTGGCCTTGGTTTACGAGCTGACTGGCTAATCCCTCGTAGAACTTGATGGCTTTGTGAAAGTAAGGCACTGCGTCTTTTGCAATATCCTTGTGAGAACGAATTGGTTCCGATAGTTCACTACCAACGATCTGCGCATTTTACAATTGTTACAGCAAGATTTCGAAGAAAAAAAAAACACGTTACCATTCCAGGCCCCTCGGTACATGGACCGCCAACAAAGGCCATAATTCTAGCACCCGTGCCAGGGACACAAGCATTGAGCAGCCCAGCGGCGACATTCAGCGCAGTACCGGTGCATCTGGAAGCTCTCTTATCCGACGCAACCGAAAAAGCATCCTTTTGTAGCTCCTCGAGCAACTGCGCAGCCAAAAATTTTGCGTTAGAGATCGATCCCAGCGAACAGAAAACCAGCAAAGAAAAGAGAAATAAACAAAATGAAAAAAACATACTGCTGATAGAGTGAATTCACAGTCGGAAGCAGGAAGCAAAAACCTGTTGATGCTGCTGGCGGAGAGTCCATCCTTGGGCCCGGCAATCACACCCGCGCTCTTGTGGTGGAAAGAAACGAGCCCGAGCTGGTCCAATATCTGTTCCTTGGTCACCTCTTTCGAGCCTTTAAACACGTAGCTCTTGGCACAGGCCGAAAACCCGAGCTCGTGGACGTGGACGTGTGTCCCAAACGTGATAAGTCCCACCATTGCATTGGGAGGAACTAGCGCGATGGCCTGGATGAGCGACGTCCGCAAGAAAGTGAGCTCCTCCTCCACCAAACAAGTGTCGAGGACGAAGAGGAAGAGCGGCGGCAGCCCTCGATCCCCCGGAGGCGCGTACTCGATCGTGGTGAACTGCTGATAGAGCTCGCCAGGAAGATAGCTCTCGGACAGCTCGCTGTAATGGGGCGGGAACTGGTTGCGCGAGAAATCAAAGGGGCACACCCAGATCTTGCCCGCGAAATCCACGCTGCAGAAGGGATTGAGGATGGCGCGGCACGTCCGGCAGCGCAGCGGCGGGTACTGGAGCACCGCCTCGGGTTGCGCGAGGGGCTGGAGCGGCGAGATCACGGCGGCGGGGGGGACTACGCACCTGGCCATCTCCACGCGGCTGCTCGGCCATACGTTCCAGGACATCCGGATCCCATCCGCGGCCTCGATCTCGGCGAATTCCGCCATGGCCGATTGACGATCCGCGCCGATCCGGGGCCTATAAACCCTAAAATTAATTTCTCCTAAGCTAAAGGGTCTGGCGCCCTAAAAGTTTCGTACCTCAGGGCTCTCGGATCTGGACCGTCCATAGAATCGACGGTGGATCATCATGGATCCTCGGCGCTGAGCCGTGCGGCAGCTGGCGCTCGATTCTCTCGCGGCTGAAGATATTTCCAGGAATTTCGCGGGGTTTCTTCCACTTCTGCGTCATCGCCATCGCAACTTATCAATCTCGGTGAGGCTGGAGGAAGGATGAGCTTGGATTCCTATGGCACGGCCTCCAACAGTTGCATTACAGCAGGAAGCTAGATCACGCAGTGTGTATCATTTCACGATCAATGGATATTCACTGGCATGTCGCGATGGACGACGATTCTCTCTATGGTGCTCGCCAGCAACGGCAGCGCTGCTTGAGCTCACACTGGTGGATCAAGGCAAGATCAAGCACAAAGTTTATAGTCTTCGATTGCTATGTGGTGTGTATTTAGATTTCTTGACTTCATTATGTAAGCCAAGAGTCGGCCTTCCATCGTCAGAAACACTTCATGCTTTCGCACTCGTGTTTGAGGTTGATGGTGTCTTCTTTTCTACTCAACAAGACTCCATCCCCTGCCAAGGCCTGGAAGGTCGAGCTCTCCAACCAGATATTGCGGTTCTTTCTTTTGTTCTATGATTCTTTGTTTCTTTGTGAAAGTTTTATAGTTTGTCACTTGTGAGGATTCTTTGAACGTTTTCGTGGATGGTGACTGTATGGAGGTTTTCTTCTTTCTTTCTGGATTGGTATGGTACAAAGCTGTCGAAAGCTTGTGTGTGTGTGGTTGTTCTCGTGGTTTCTCGAGTTGTTTACTCGGTGATGTTTCTTATTTGATCTTCCGCATTTGTTTAAACTGTTCAGGGGATACGAGCGTTTCCTTTAGGCGTGTCAAACTATTTGAACAACGACAACCTTGACATACACGTCCACGACGATTTATTCTCTCCAGCCACCGGAACAGGACGTTGGTAAGCACTTTGAAGCTCCTCTGGAGAGCGAAGAGGGCGCCGATACCAGCAGGATTTCCAGTTTTCAAGGCGCCGCGTATGGGACCTCTCCGGGAGCGCACCAGATTTTAGTTCCAGTCTTGAAGGCATTTCTCCTTTTTGTTCTTGCCGGGGTCGCGATCTTCTCAGTTCAACGCTCGGTCGAGCTCTGGGGTCCTCGTCCCCGACTTTCCTGCACAAAGCCGTCAGTAAATATGGATTAGATCGCGTGGGCCAAGCTCTGCAAGACCGGAGCGTGACAACAATTATCTTGGGATTGATCAAATATCTTTTTATTATTTGTTGGTTCTTTACCCTTTTTAAGAAAAGTGATCTTGTCCTTTAGGATTTTCTAATGCATGTGATCATTGGAAAGCAATTGCCATTAGGTTAAATGGAGAGTTATAGTTTTATTTTAAATAAATAATAATTAAAAATTTACAAAAATTTAATATAAAAGAATATTCTATAATATAATTCTTTAAAGCGGTATTTAAAATATTCTATCCCAGCTCACTATATTAGCTTGTATAAAAGGTGTTAACCACTCTTGATACAAAAACACAATAGATAAAGCATGATAATTTTACATGGCAATCTTTCACATATATTGTGGCAAAGCTGCTCATGGATGCAAGAGCTTTTTGTGGTAAAAGCTCTAGACTAGGCTTTGCTAGTGAAAAATATTGTGTGGTTTTATTAAGATTACTCTTTGCCTGTGTGAAGAGTTAGATTGTAAACATTAGAGAATGCCAAAGTCATAATTATTAATCTTCCCATCACACTTGTTAAAGGAAGAGTTAGAGAAAGCTTGCTCACACACCTAAAGCACATGTTTTTCAGCTCCATGGCAAGGATGAATTCTTGATGAACCAGATTCATGAAACAATCTTTGGATGGTAACTATGATTTATATTAATGATAACTAAAATGATTAATGTTAAAATTTTAATTAGAGAAAAAGATTAGATTAAAGAATCTTTTAGAACATACTTGAAAGTCTTAAAACCTTAAGAGTTGTAGTCGCTGTTATTTTATAAGGGTAAAACAAAATTATCCAAAAATAACTTAAAATTCCAACTCGCTTGAAGAAAAGATGAGAAGCTTTTCTTTCAAACGCTGTTTCTTGCAATTAATTTGCAAACACCTATACAAATTTGGCAAGAGCAAGCAAAGGCCTAAACTTAGCTGTAATTCCCGTGTTGCCGGACGAGAAAACGCCTGTAGATCATGGAAACTTGGAATAGAGCGAAGAACACAACCAGAGCATCGTCGACGAGGCCGATTAATCCCAAAACGGCTGCGTCACAGGTAGAGATTTTAATAACAAAGTTTCCAAAAGACATTACCTTCTGGAAGAAGATCGATGGGCGAAAGCACATAGCACATTGATAAGAAAACCTGAGAAGAGCACATTAGGCTACAAAGTCTTTTTCTTGACTGTCTGTTTACCACTAGGATGAAGCGTGTTCTGTGTAAAATAAGAAGCGCTCGCTGAGGATCCAAAAGATCTCGAAAGAAACGCCTCAAAAGCAAAGGCATGTCTCTTAAACGCTGTAAACCAGCTCGTCAATGAATGTAAGAAACCGTGTTCTTCTACCTGAATCACGCTGGAAGGTGCTCCTCCAAACAGCCGGTTATACTTTGAGATTTCTCTTAGCAAACGCTCGGACTCGGCATCTCGGTTTCGCTCTTGATACTCACGTCCCGGGATCAAAAGATTGATCGTCCTGCGACAAATCGGGCATTTGCAAGGCTGTAAAGCAGCACTGTGTTGCCAGACTCTGAGAATGCATTCCCCTGGAACAAAGAGAAAAAAAAGAAATCCATCAAAGTTCCTGAGACTCAAAAGAACACACACACACACACACAAAATGTATAGCTTACCACAAAACCAATGAGCACAGTTCGCTTGGCAAGGGAGCGTGAAAGTATCGTGGCAAACCGAGCAGCAATCGTTCTCGTCCGGAGCCTCCATGGTAATAGGCGGATGATCTAGCGGGGGCGGCGCTGTCGAAATCTGGAAAATTTGGACGATCCACACCCCTAGGGACTGCAATCCCTTTCTCAGTCGAGCAAACACACTGCAATCGACGATCAATCCAGAAAACTAGATATCCCGCGAGAATTACTGGCCGTCTTACCCAGCTGAAGAGCAGTAGACGATCACAGCCGGCGCGGCAAACACTGCCGCTAGGACTACCTCGTCACCGATTCCCTCAATGTAGGGCATCTAGATCCGTCCGGAGCATCAAAATCCCTTCGCTAGAACCCTAATGGGTAAACGAAGAAATCCACGCGTTTTGTTAGAGCTTGTACGCCGTCCGATTGTGAGACTTGGCACAATCGGACACCGTTAAAAAAAAAGTATGTGTATGTGTGTGTGTGTGTGTGTGTGTGTGTGTGTGTTATAGTTTGCTTGCCGCCTTCTTGAGCTCGTTGCGAAGAATTTTACCAGCGGCGGACTTGGGAATCTTATCCAGGAAAGATACTCTTCTGATTCTCTTGTACGGAGCCACCTTGATCATAGAGACAATTGTAAGATTGTTTTCGAGTTAAAATCAAAGAAATCTCTTACTTGGTCTGCTACGTAACGCATGACTTCTTCGCTAGAAATGCTATTGTCTCGAGCCCTAACGATAAACGCTTGTGGAATCTCTCCAGCCACTTCATCTGGAAACCTGCGAGGTAAAAATGTTGTAGAAAATTGGTAAAAACAATGTACAAGAAAGCTGGTAAAACTTACGGTACTACCGCACAGTCCACTATGGCCGGATGTGTGAGCAGTAGTGCTTCTAGCTCTGCTGGTGCAACCTTGAAAGCAAAGCAAGGTTAATTCTCTCGCTATGAGATACGTTTTTCCAAGTAAATACCTGGTATCCCTTGTACTTAATCAACTCCTTGAGACGGTCTACGATGTATAAATACCCCTTGGAATCAAAATATACGAGATCTCCCGTGTGTAGCCAGCCATCACTGTCGATCGCCTCCGCGGTGGCCACTGGATTGTTCAAATACCCTGCAAGTTCAATAAATTTGTAAAATCAAAAACTATGCAAGCCATAGAGGAATGATAGAAGAAACCATAAGACCATAAGAATTATACTTACCTTGCATGATCGGTGACCCTCGAAGCCAAAGCTCTCCTCTTTGATTAGGAGGCAGTGATTTCCGGGTCTCCAGATCCACAACCCTAGCCTCCAGCGTGGCATTTAGCCTCCCGGAAGATCCCATAACGCCCCTTCCACCGCTTCCCACGGTCACAGTCTCGGTCATTCCATACATCTACAAAAAACGAAGAAAGTCAATTTAGTCAAAGGACTGTTAGTCAAGCAGTTGGTCAATGACCATAGTCAACGAACTGTTAGTCAAACCTTACAGTCATCGGTTAGTCAACGGATTTTTCAAACCTGGATGAACATCTCCAAGTGGGGGAACTTGATCATCAGGCCCTGGATCGTCTCCTTGCTCAGCGGCGCGGCGGCGCAGATGAGCGCTCTCAGCGATCGCAGATCGTAGCGCACGGTCTGGGCGCTGTGGAGCAAATCCAGCGCGACGGGCGGCGCGGACGTGATCTTGTTGGCGCCGTGCCGCTCCACCGCGCGCAGCAGATCCGCCAATCCATAGCGCTGCAGCAGCACGAACGTCGGGCCGCCCATGATCGCTCCACAGCACAGCCACATCAATCCGCCGATGTGATACATCGGGAAGAGCACCACATTCGTGTCGCCGCGATCCATCTCCTCGGGCACTTGGTTCTGGACGGCCATGGCGGCGATAAGGTTTCCATGGGAGATCACCACGCCCTTGCTCAATCCGGTGGTGCCCGACGAGTAGAGCAGCGCTGCCGGATCGCTCTGGCGGATGAGGCATCGATTGCGTGGTCGCTGGTCGGGATCCGAGGCGAGGAATCGAGAGAATGGGATGAATTGGGGCTTTTTCTCATCACTGTTTAGAGTTCTTCCGTGTTCTTCGCGTTCTTCCTCGTCCACGAGGACGATTGGGAGATCTGGGGAAGCGGCTCTCACCTTATCGACCCCGGCGCGATTCGTGAGCACCATCTTGGGACGCGAATCCAGCATCTGACGCGCGATCTCGGCGGGCGTGTTCTGGGGATTCATAGTCGTCACGACCGCGCCAATGCGCAGCGCCGCGTTAAACATGACCGGGAACTCGAGGGTGTTGGGCAGCAAGATCATGACAACGTCGCCCTGGCAGATGCCGGATTCGTGCAGCCCCGTCGCCACCGCCTCGATCGATCGGCGCAGCTGCGAGCAAGTGAGCGACTGACCAGATTTCCCATCCAAGATCGCGACATTGCTGGCGCTCTCGGGCCTCCCAAATCGCTGCGAGAACATGTAGGAGACGAAATCCAGATGGGGATGGAGCGGCATTGCCACCGGCGACGCGAGGCTGGAGTAGATCCCATCGCATTCCCGGTAGCCACTGCCCTGGCTATCATCCGCCATAGCCATCAAGAACAAGGCATTGACTCGCTGGTGGTGGTATATTATCTGCTTATCACCAATTAGCCATGATAAGTATCGATTAGAACGTAACAAAGTTGGCCAATGGCCAGGATTGAAGGCGAGTCTGTCTTGAAGCACGAAGCACGTAGTTTGGAAATCTTTGGTTATTTACACAGTCGCTAAATCACTTCCGTGGATCTATAGAACTAACAGCGCCACTGATGGGCGATAAGCTTGTAGGGTGGAGTGATCTCTTGCTGGATCGATCGATCGATCGAGCTATCTTTCTATCAGGAATTGCAGCAATTGCATGGCGGTGGCGGTGGTGGCGGCTGGACAATCGGTGCCAAAGACACCACACTCGCGCATTTCTTGTGCTTGTCCAGTTGTTTTAGAAAATCCTCTTTCTTGAAGCCTCCCGTGTAAGTCACTTGGGAGCCACTTAGTTCCATCCTCATCACGCCTGCGATTTCGAGGGATCAAAGATTTTGCACGTAGTCTGGGTGTGTTCACGGGAGAAATTACCAGGGAGATTGTCGTAGATTTGCCCCGCGACGCTGTCCCTCCAGCAGGAATCGTGAATCTTGACGATGGCCTAGAAAAACCAACATAGATTTTGATTGAGTGCTGGTATATCATCCCAGAGAGACTATAGAATTCACAGCCATACTTTCCAATTCATTGTTGCGCAAGAGAACTTGTGTCAAACTCGAGCTTTCTTCTGAGTAGCAAATGAAAGGTGCAAGATATTTATCAAACCATGAGAAACAAAGACCAAACAGCAAAAATTTTATAGCAAAACCATGAGAAGGAACCAATGAGAAAAAACCAGGAGTAACATTGACTTCCCAACCTCTAGAGCTCATTTTAAACATGACTGTATAGGTCATTGTCTGGAAAGCCTTTCTCAGTTTCATTCCCCCAAAGTGACAGCACAACTTTTTTCATCCAAACTCATATTAAGAAAAAGTTAGATGATGTCATGTACTTTTATCACCTTTTTCTGAAAGATTATAATAAAAGAGAGATTAAAGGAAAACATACTCTTCGGTGGCAGCCAGCTAAAAATGAAAGCTACAACTTCTTTGGTGGATCCCATTGTCACATGTGCGCTGCTTTTGTTTGGTAGAGAGCTAAGCTTTGAGAATTAGCCCAAGTGGGACGTAGAAATCATGAAGAAATAAATGGTGACATGCGATGGATCGAATCGCCCAAGTCTTATTATAACCTTGAGATCGCTGGCAACAATACATATTGTGTCGATCCCAGGAAGAGATCTTGTGAAAGTTGATCCAAATAGTTGATCAAGCTAAGCTCTAAGAAAAATAGCTGAGTTTCAAGATCAAACTTGCTAAGCTTCAAACTCCTTTTTTGCTTTTTTTTTTTTGTGGATTCGAAAACACCAACCGTGTGCCAGTGGCATCTCCATCGTAAATTTGTCGCGCGCCGATCCAAGGCGGACATCCACAAGTTATGTGCTTGATTTTTTCTGCTTTTTTTTGTGATTTTCTCCTCCCTTTGTTGATGGATTTCTAGGCCTTTCCAGCCCGGAGGGAAGGATTCCAGGGAGGAATTCCTGGGAGGAGGAGAATCTAGCAGCTGCAGCAGCGATCCGAGCAGCGATCCCAGGGGCAGCCGATGTTGCGGCCGTGGAAACAGAAGACGAGATTCTTGGTGTGGATGACAATCGTGTTTGGGCACACGACCTCGGGCGGTGGCTTTGGTGGATCCGGCTTTGGTGGATCAGGCTTGGGGATCTCTTGCACGGATTCGATGGAGACGCAACGCTTCTTGCTGGCTATGGCGGCGTTGATGTCCTCGATCTTGAAGTCACCCGTGAGGGTGAATTGGTGGTCGCCGGTAGCCTCGGCCTTCGCGACTCCTGCAAATTCAAGAGGACAAAGGAGAGATCAGAATCCGAGCGATGAGAGGTGATACCTGAGACTTCGGACAGCTTCTTCAAGAGATTGTCCTTGCATTTTCCACAAAGATCGACTTTCAAGATGGCCTGTGTGTGTTGATTTTGGGGGAAAAACCAGAATTTGAGTTGCCGGGCACTGCGAATTCATACCTTTCGAGACATCGTTGCGGAGAGAAGTACTCCACGCTCCGGCTGGGACCCTAGAAGATGCACAGCTCATATACAATGAGAGCTTCTCTCTCTTGTAAGTCGTCTCTGACTTGAGTGGACTGACGTCTGACTGGCGCTGACCGACAAAAAAAAGCAGATACTGTCGGAGAGTGCTCACAAGATTCGAACTCCAGAATTGTGCAACTTCTAGGGCTACATTTTGGCGAAGGAAGCGCCACTGGTGAGCTTTAGATCGGGATTCTAGATCGCCCAGTTCCTTGCTTGGTGTTTGGATGAAGGGAATCCATGGCTGCTGGAGTGGCTCGGGAGAAGCTCGGTGCTTTGGCTGCCATGTTGGCCAAGTTCCCGGATTGTGGGAAGAATGTGGGCTCTCTGGACTGGATTCGATCCAACAGGAGTTGCCCGGGGTTTGCATTCGGGGAGTTTGATCAGGTGATGAGAGACAACTCGAGCTGGCGGGGCTATCGCCGGACGGGCGATGAGCGAGGCGTGAATCTGTGGGGGAAGAAGAAGCCCGGGAATTGCAGCTATTGCGGGAAGAGTGGACACTGGGAGCAAGACTGCCGAGTGAAGAAGATGGACGAGAGATGGTCGGACGAGAACAATTCGCGCAGTGGGATGCGAAGGTCTGGATTGTCACCCGATTGATCGCAACTTAAGGTTAGTCTCAGTTCATCGGTTCTTAGTTTAGATGAATCAGAGTGGAAACAAAACTTCTGTTACTCGGTTTCTTTCTCGATGGATGAGGCGATTGTCACGTCAAAGTCATGTCTCGTAAGTATACGTAGATTTCATACGCTCTGCCAGAACTTATACTTTCGGTAGCTTGATCTTCGGACGGGTGGAGGAGACGTGTGTCGCTGTGCTTCCGCCTTGGAATATGCCATTGCCATCTTTCAGGGAGAAAGAAGATTTCATGATTTTTATTTATCTGACTCGTCCAACTGTATGGTGAGATTGCACACAAAATCAAAAAACAACTCATATACATTGCGGCCAACTTTAATGAGTTTGGACGAAAAAAAACAGCACCGACCAACATATTGAAACTTATATATCCGGCACATTGTCTTTGTGGGCGATCAAAACGTCAAATGCTTGGCTGACAATCTCTAGGAGGCGTGCCGCCCCGCGACGGGCCATGGCGGGCATTAGAGAAAAAGGCGAGAAACCAACAAAGAGGAAAGAAGCAAAGAATTATAAGATTCACAGATCGTGACCGGGAGGGAGTGAAAAGAAAGTCACTCTGGTATGAATTCTCTCCACCACATTTTCTAACACGCGATTATTATTCCCGACACCACTTCCGAGAAGGAGAGGAGAACCCGGAAGAGCAAAACAAGCACGACATATCGTACTCGCGAAATGGATGCGAGAAGAAGAGCCAGCCTCCATAGCTATACTGCGCGGTCCAGCGTACGAAAGGAAGAACTAGAGAGACTATGGTGGCTTAGCAGCAGCTATCGCAGCACTCGCAGCCATGGCCACCGCCGCCATGGTGGTCGAAATCCTTGGGGCACAAGCTCAAGTTCTCCACCACGATCACAAGGCTGGTACCGGGAGGAACGTTTGGCAACTTCTTTGGCCAACCTTTCTCGGTGATGATGATCTCCTTTGGCGGGGCCTTTGGCGGGTCGGGCTTGGGCTCCGGCTTGGGCTCCGGCTTGGGCTCGGGCTTGGGCTTTGGCGGTGGTGGGAGCTCCTCCACGGACTCCACCTTGAGGCACCGCCGCTTCTTCCCCGCCGCGTTTAAGATGTCCTCCACCTTGAAGTCGCCGACGATGGTGAAGACTGGGCAGCACTCGGTGGTGGATTCCACCTTCTTGACGCCTGCGCGACGATGGAGCACGCACAGAGAAGAAAGGGGCAAAGTGGTGAGAGAGAGAGAGAGAGAGGATAGACTCGGAGAAATTGCTCCAGATCCAAGAGTGTGGTGCTTTAGTTACCTGACACAGCGGAGATCTGGCCGAGCAGCTTGTCGCGGCATTTTGCGCAGGGGATGTTCACCTTGACGACCATCTGGTGTTTTGGGGGAATTTGCATCCATCCGGGGATTACGAGATTAAATCGATGTGTGGGAGTCCTACATTACTCGTACCTTGCGAGCTCCCATGTTGCCTCTTGCTCTCTTGCGCTCTCTCGGGGCCTTCTGTGAGATGGCTTCCCTAACTGATGAGTCTGAAAACACCACCAAACAAAAGCAACCAAAAGACCACGTTTACAGTTTAAAAAACAAAGCAGCCAGCTGCATTGTCTTTTGACCTTAGTTGACCCTGTTTCTCTGACCGTGTTTGACCGCATCTGGGCTTGCAAAACGGACATGGCAAAGACAGGCAAACAACCAGCTGTTGCTATTTGGATAATTGACACTATTTTTAGATAAACAATGAAGGTGATAACTACCATGAAGGGATGGCCAACTTATGGTGTTTTATGGTTCATGAGGATCTCATACAAAGACCTTGTACTTAACTGCTATAAGTTTGTTCAGTTTTTGCTGGTGGCCAAGCAGCTCGTCATGGCCCTTTGCTGCATAGTCAATATTCACCTAAGATTAGATCCATACCAATGGTTGTTTCTTTCCTTGTGTGAGGGACTTGGGCTGATCCTTCTGCCTGACCACGTTTGACCGCATCTCTCTTGCAAAATAACTAACTCTGGTCTCTACCATGTATGACCATATCTTTGCTTGCAAAACAGACATATTACAAAACACAATGGTGGATTCTTATTGTAAGTATTATTAATATCTGTTTTGCATCTTTTTCCGCCACGGCATTGTCTCTATAGAAAATAACATTTTTTGTTTTTTGACATATGCTAAATGCCTTATGGATATCTTGTATATATGTAAACAAAATAGATGAAAATAATAAAGTAGAATCCAAATCATCAGTATGCAAGGTTTGTTCACTCGTCCTTTAATTCTGTAACAAGATTAAAGGAGTAAAAGATCAAATGAAATGTCTTTAATTGTGTTAGTTTTGATTACTTGTATTTTGTTTAATACATGTATTTCACTCGAGATCAAGCGAGATCATGAACAGGTTGATCCTCTTCCTGATGAAGTGCGTTATTTCATCTTTTCTGCTATACTGGAAGCTATAAAAATGATTGGAGATGAAACTCCTTATTATGCAGTGTTTGAACGTAGATTTGCTGATATCATCACTGGAGTTACTGTAATAATAACATCTTTAGATCGTCCAGTTCCTTGGTATTACATACCAATGTGTAGCTTATTGCCTAGCTATGGTACTCCAAGACCAGGTTTATCATTAAAATATATATTCTATAGAATACTTAGAGAGGCTATAAAAGCTGATAGTCAAATTTTAAAATGGGGTTTAAGTGAATATATTGTTGGCAGATTTAGTATAATGTACACATATATAAAACCAAGTTCTACTATCTTAAATATAGTTCTTAAAAAGTATAAAATATATGAACTAAATTTTAGGAATAATCTCTTAAATATTTCATTCGAACAACATATAAATTATGAAAATGAAGGAGGAGATTGTGAATGGCGAAAAACTTGTATCCGAAGCTCAGAAGATACTTCTTATTTTGCTAATTTAAAAACTGGGGAATTTATTATATCTCCAAATATGATATTTATGTTATATATGCAATTAGATTGCAATTTAGTATTTTATAAAGGAAAAACAATTATATGGTCTACAAATACACAAAATCAAGGTAAAAATTGTTTTCTTAGGATACAGGTAGATGGAAATCTTGTTCTTTACAATGATAATTTAAAAGCTTTATGGTCAAATGGTTTTTATAAAAAGTCATTTCAACTAATGGCTGTTTGTGTTGAAAATGAAGGTTTTATTGCATCTTGCAATATTGAAAACTTCACCTGTATCTGGAAAATTCCAAAGTAATCAAATAAAGAAAATAAATAATGAGTGCTTTTTATGTACTATAAACATTTAGTGTATTAGAAAAGGCATATGTGTTTCATAATTCATAAAGAGTGGGCAATAAATAAAGTTGTAAAAGAGTGGTTCATACTTTTTCTTTTAAATTTTTAAAGTAAATGGGTTTATGATATCTATCAAAATCTTAGCAATATACTTAATCATTCTAAAATATGCTTTTATTTATCAGGATCTAGAAGCATATCTTTCCATGGAATGCTCAGTGGATGGTGCAATGAATGTCACAGTGGACATAATCCTAGAACCTGAGAATAGCAATAGATCCATCACTACTGAAGTGGCTGAGGTCAAAATCCAATAGATTTACTAAGAGAAATAACTTTAAAGAATATGTCATGCGTGGAAATCGTGGGATGCACCGAGAATATAATGGCCAACTATCTCCTCCACGGCAACTATGGATAAACTTCGTAGTGTTTTGCTCTTGCTTGCTCTCTCTTGCCTTGCTGCCGCTCTTGCTGGTGATGAGCAACGCGATGATTTAGTCTCTGCTGCCAATCTCCAGGCCATGGTGTGCAGGCCAAACTCCCACTGCTGCCCCGGCTCCAAGCGATGCAGCAAGGCAGGCCAGTTTTGTGGACGTTGCACCCGAAGCTTTCCTCCAACTTGCTTCTGCGACGCCCCGGATCCGAAAAGATGCAGCGCCGCATCACAGTGTTGCTCGGATGCGGACTGCCTGCACGGTGGAAGCTGCAGCCTCTGCACCAGATCTATTCCACCCATCTGTCGTTGCTTCAAACCCGGCAAAGCGAAGCTTAAGCTCTAGACTTCATGGTTCCATCTGTTTCCTTAAGTCAAGAACTCAATGCTGTTATCAGTAAGTCTCATCTAGGATGGGATTTTGTTTCGAGAAAGTAAAGAGAGTTTTTTTGGTTACCTCGCTTTAGAACACCACAGTGTCGAGCATGGTGCCTAAAGTCTGGACAATGTTGGAGGACATGAGGTTGGACACGCGATCTTCCAAGTGTTTCTTGGCGTCCTGCCTGCCAACGTTTGCAATGGCCAGCTTCTCCGGGGATAGTTTGTCCTCCTCTTGGACTGCTTTGTTGTATTTCACGGCAAGATCGAGCATTTCCTGGATAGAAGAAACGAAAACGCTCCCGTTAGCGCTGGAGATGAACCTCAAAACAGCTGGGAGCTTACATTGATGGTTGCCTCGTTTGTCTTTGAATGGCAGTCGAAGTGCTGGAGAGCTAGCCCGTCCGTCCAGGTCTTCTTGTGGAGGTTCAAGAGCATTTTCTCCTCGAGCTCGGTTTTGCGGTAGTTGATAGCGATCGAGTAGTAGTGACGGTTTAGGCCGTGGATAAGCGCCTGTTCGTTTCCCAAATGT